ATTGGATTAGTTGAATAATATTTTAAATTGACAGTCCAACAATAGGCTGCTTTGTCAGTGGGATAACGGTTACCATACAATACCATGCGTCTTTTCAGATGCATTGCATGGGTACTGTAACAAGGACCTTGCTTTGCGACCAGTTTATAGTGTCTATTATGCCAGCACAGGAATGCGAGGAAACTGAACCCCCTGGGCGAGGCAAATGCACTCAAGGGTGCCTGACTGGTGGGCCAGTGGCGCAATGGATAACGCGTCTGACTACGAATCAGAAGATTCCAGGTTCGACTCTTGGCTGGCTCGCTCTGCTTCGCTGTCAGCCCATAGCCATTTTATTATTTCCTTTTATTAGCCCATAGTTTTTGTTATTATTATTATTGGATTAGTTGAATAATATTTTAAATTGACAGTCCAACAATAGGCTGCTTTGTCAGTGGGATAACGGTTACCATACAAGCTTACGAAACCTGATAGGTTTAGGTTCTGTCCCCCAAGGTGTGCCTTCGATAGCTTGGCGGTACCTGACAGCCGTGCGTCTGTAAAATCTATCCAATACAATGACGAGCTCCATCTTTAAAAAACCAATTACGTTACGAGCTCCATTTTTGGCCGTCCAATGAAATGTCAAGGTCCATTTTTCATAAACCAATCACCGCACATAGTCCATTTTTGTCCATCTTTGAGTTTGAGCAGATTCCATCCAATCTCCGCTCATATTCTCTTTTTTGGCCGTCCAATGAAATGGCAATGTCCATTTTTCATACACCAATCACCGCACGTTGAGCATAAACGTCACCGCTGTTATTTATATTCCGCTCAGGTAACGTTATGTTATTTATAGTTATTGTATTTATTGTTAATGAACGTTTTCTGTATTTTAGGAATAGCAAGATTGCTCCGTAAAACGATCAGGTAAGTTAACGTTAACTGTAATTGTAAGTAATAGGGTATAATTGTCGCAGCTCAATTTGTAATGTAAATAGTTTTATTCGATTTTGTCTGACTTTGTGTAACTTCAGTCATAGCTAACGTTATCATCGAGCTTGGCAATTGTACATTTTTGTCAGTAACGAAACTTATTTTGTTTTCTGACAGGATTAACTAGTAAAATAGCATATCTGATAGTGTTTGTTACTTTATAGGAAATGGATAAATCAATGTACAATAAATCTCATTGTACTAGTCTACTGTAACACTGGCATAAAATGTAACAAAATAAATTTGGATAATGTCTCTAACTGTTGGGTGTTTGTTTAACTTTTATACACTTGTGGTAAAAAATGACCAGTCATAAGTGAATGGATGAGAATACAATAAGTATATAAAATAAAATTCAGGCACATGTTCATTTTAACACATGGGCACAGTTGAAATAACACAATGTTTAATCTGAGTATTTGTTATAGTCAAAATAATCCATAACAGTTACATTATACGTTTTACTACAAAACAATTTGTATGAGCCCAGGTCAATGAGGCATACAAGCCATAAATAGCAAATAGAAGTTCAAAATTTGTAATGTTTACAAAAACTCTATCACAAGATCTATCACAACATTAGGTGATGATATATACAGTATGCATTATTTTGGATTTATAAACTGCTATAATGTGGCGGTCATTTTGGACCAGGAAAAATGACCACGTAGTAAATTTTTGTCAATCTTTGAGCACAAACACCGCTTAAGTTATTTATATCCCGCTGTTATTTATATTCCGCTCAGGTATGTTATTTATAGTTATTTTATTTATTGTTAATGAAATGGCTTACGTTTTCTATTTTTTAGGAATAGTAAGATTGCCTCCGTAAAACATCTATGTAATCCCTCATTTTGGGCCCTTGCCATGATGACTTAATGTAATTACACTATAACATGAATAAAACTGCGTATCTGTCATTACAGAAAATGTCCAAACAACAATCCAAAAGCCACAAGGCTATGGATGATACTGAGTGGGTCTCGCGCTTTAGGTCTTTTGCCTCCACTGGTGTCTGGCCATCAGATGCAGGTAACCGACCTGCTCCAAGGCAAAAGAAGTGGTACAGTCTGTATCAGAAGGTATGTAGAAAAAGTATCAAAAGGAATATATATATATATATATATATATATATATATTAATTTTGAGTAGTAGACATATTATATTTTCAGTATGTACAGTATGAGCATAAAACAAGAACTTGTACAAATAAATATAAGTGGCATCTTTTGTTTTGTTTACAGATAGAGAAGTGCCCTCTGCAGCTGAGAGGACAGCTAACGCTTTTCTCCCAGCCACAGATGTGTTTGTGTGGATTTCATCCTCATAAGGTAGGCTAATTTGGGCTCTTTCAGTTTAACTACAGTTGATGCAGTGTGCACACAATATAAAGATGTGGTATTTCTTAACATTAATGTATTCTTGGACAATTTCTGTTGTTTCTATCTGGGTTGGTTTGGCAACAGGTCTGTTCCACAGCAGAGGAAATTGCATAGTAGGTAAAAGAAGGTCATAAGGTTGAAACTAACTACATCACTAATAACTGAATAAAAAACCCACATCTAAATTTGTCACGTCATTTGCATGAAAGGGGTTCTTATACATTATTGTTTATACTATTAACATAGAGTAGAACAGTAGTATTGTGCTTTCTTTAAATCACTGGTGATTTTGTCCATCATCTTTCTAAGTCTTTCATACTGTATTTCATACTGTATATATGCACTGTTTTATACATTTTTGTTATGCAGCAGCAAGTGCCTACAGCCTCATCTAGACCCACAAGCAGTGCAGACCAATCAACTAGTGGTCAATGTAGCTCCTTAATGGTAGGTAGATTTTATAGCTTTATGTGAGAGAGAATTCATAACGGAAATATTTTATATTCTTGTCATATTTCAGCTCCCAACCACTGCTCCAGTAGAACGTCCCACAGCTGACACTATACCCGCAAGTTTGGTGAAAAGGCCCAAGCTCACCCTTTCCTCGGTACATATGATGGCATGTGTTTTAAAATGGTTAACAGTTGTCATATTAATACTTCTCTCTTTAAAGTTTAATAAGTCCAGATTTGGTGGAAAGCATGTGGAGAGTGCAAAGCCAAATTTACATGTTGGACGGAAAGCTCATGTAAGTAATAAATAATTATTATTTCTTTGCTACAAAAAAAAATTCCAATGATACAATTTTTTTATACCTTGTATTTTTAGACTCATTCAACCACTGCTACAAATGCAGGTGCCCGTGTGTGTGAGGCTCCAGTGCTAGCAGGTGGTCCTCCTCAAACCATCTCTCCACCACAGCCTCCAAGTGCAGAATAATTTTTTCTTGCTCCTCCATTACCGCCTCCAAAATAACGGCATCGGCCAGTGGAGGGGCAGAGTTTAGGAGTGAATGTGGTAAAACATTGCACTTGTTACTATGTTTGGTTAGTATTTTTTTGTCTTTATTTGACCTGTCCTTTTCTGTCTACAGAGCGCATTCCAGCCTGAGCACTCTGCTGCAGTTCCTCTCCTGTGGCCTAAAACCATGCCCCAGGAGGATCACCAATGGGTCTCCACAGGATTGTTCAGAGTTGGTGCTCGTGGGAATTTGGAGCTCCAGGATCATCTCCAGTTGTGGTATTTCCCTCCACAGCCATCCCTTATTTACCACCAGGCACCAACATCAGCCAGATTTTTTGCCCATTCCTTACTGCTGTGGATGCCGTATAGGCTGTGGAAAGTCAGGCTGCTGTGCGCGGACCAAGCCTGTAAAAGCCCTCTGACTAGTGGAGGTCTTCACAGATGGGTGCGTCAGGTCCTTGACATTGACCGCTTTTACAACCTGGTCACAGAGACTCTGATTTGCTCCAAGTGCCGCCGCAGCTACCTGTCTTGGAATAGGTAAATTACTTGAGCAGCTGGACATGGCCCATCGTTCTGAGTTTAGGGTCATTCTTACCCGCCGGTATGTTACATTATTGTGTGATTTTTGTCAGTTGCTTATCCATGTATATTTAATTTATTTCTTATTACAGATATGCCTGTGACATCAGGGTGATACGCCTCCTACGGGAACGTGGTCTGGGGAATGGCCCTGTCCGACTGATTGGCCAATTGAAAGAGAACCACAGTGAAGAGTGGCTGAAAAGGGTTGCGCGGTATACCAGCGAGTGTGCTTCTTTTACCAGCAAAAGTTGCCTGATGCCACCAACATTTGAAGAGCCTCCCCAACCTGTGGCAATTCCCAGCTATAAGTGGCTTTCAGTGGTGTACAGCCAAGACATCCTGTTCAGGCTGGAGGATATCAAGGCTAGTATCACCTCCACTTATGGATCCATCTTAAAACTGGATTCCACCAGAAAGGTACATCTTTAATTATTATTGTATTGAGGTTATGCAAATTCTATTTATATTTAAATCTAAATAGAAATGGAACCTCAAATGAATGAACAACTTAAACAATAACATAAGATGGAATGTCAAATTGAGGGACATTTCAAAGATGAAAACAAGAATAACATTGCAGAGATAACCACTATTTTTTTTTAGGACATTACACGCATAAGCTCTATATTAATGCAATAGAACCACTGAAGGTGTTGCTACTATTGGTTTAATATATATGTTTGTTTTAGATCACTAAAAAGCTCTCAGGACCGGCAAAAGGCACTGCACAGTGGCTGACATCCGTTGGTAACGAGATGGGTCAAGTGCTCATCAGTGTCTTGACTGCTGGTGAGGGACCAGGTTTGGATCTTATGGCAGCTGGCTTGGTAGACAGGTATGTTACCTGTAATACATTTTCACTTACATGTAATTTAACTTGTCCTTAGTTTAGAATTTACTATTTACAATTTGCATTTGTAATTTACTGTTGTTTGATGATGAAATTCTTTAATTATTTTTGATAATTATTTCTCGCAGGTATAAAGCTGCAGGTGTAGACCCTCCTGTTGCTCTCTATGTGGACTGTGGCTGCTGCAAGGATGTGGGTGAGACCAAGCTGAAGGCCAGATTTGCTGGATGGCCTAACTTGATTGTTCGCCTCGACATCTGGCACTATATGCGACGCCTGGCTGTGGGATGCACCACTGATGCACACCAGCTCTATCCCACTTTCATGGCTCGCATATCAGCATGTATTTTTGAGTGGGATGCTGCTGATGTCAACAAGTTGAGAGAGGCAAAAAGAGCACAGCTAAAAGAGCAAGGCCTGATGGCTCTGACGGAGAAGCAGCTAGATCGGCACATAAAAAAAGAAGAGTTAGAGCTGCACTGCAGGAGGAGGACTCGTGGAGAAGACCAAACCATCCGGCTGTTGGATCAGCTCATCAGTGAGCTCATCAGTGACAAGGGTAAGGATGCCCTTGGTGTTCCTCTTCTGGACCCCATCAGAATGCAGCACATCTGGCGTGTTCAGAAGAGACATGTTAAGTGCATTCAGGACCCACCTGGTGTGGCGCTGTACACACAGACTGGCACCATCACCAAGGGAGGAGTGCAACTGCAGACACTGCGCTGTGCCAGAGGTTCTACATCTTTGGAGTCATTCCACTGTCACTTAAACCGGTTCATTCCAGGTACGTGCAACTCAATAATGTTTATGTTTAACAGAAATACTTGACCTTATTCCTTTTTGCCGTTTTTTTGTGTTTACTTTAGGAAACAGTGCAAACTCGCTCAACTTCCAGATCTACCTACTAGATGGGCTACATCGCTGGAACCACAACAGGGCAGCAGCTGCTCTGGAGGCAGAGACCTCGGGCCTGCGCACATACTCGGGCGAGCTGGTTCACAGCGTGAATAAAGATTATGAGAAGGTTTTTGGCAGGAAGCTGATTCCTTCTTTTACACCACCCGCAAAGTACACAGGTATTCATATTTAATATTGTATGTTTATGCTCATAGTTCTTTCTCTGTTTCTATGTAGTTTTTTTTTTTTTTTTTTTCAATATTGGTTTTGCATTTTCAGGTGAACTGATTGGAGTGCAGTACCTGTTGAGGCAGAACAATGAACCTCTACAGTGTATGGCGCCAGACTCCGAGGAGGCAAATACATTGCTGGAGCAGTTGGAAGAGCCAGTAGAGACTGATGAGGGCTTTGAAGAACTTGAACATATTGAGGTCACTCTTGCCGATTTACTTTTGGACACATCTGATATGATCTCAGTGCTACCTGCTTCTTGTGCTCCTGAGCTTTCTGGTCAGTCCGCTCCTCCTGTCCAGTCCACTCACCTGCTGGGGGTCCCATCTGCACCCGCTCCTCCTGTCCAGTCCACTCACCTGCTGGGGGTCCAACATGCATCTGCTCCTCCTGTCCAGTCCACTCACCTGCTGGGGGTCCAACATGCGTCTGCTCCTCCTGTCCAGTCCACTCACCTGCTGGGGGTCCAACATGCGTCTGCTCCTCCTGTCCAGTCCACTCACCTGCTGGGGGTCCAACATGCGTCTGCTCCTCCTGTCCAGTCCACTCACCTGCTGGGGGTCCCATCTGCACCCGCTCCTCCTGTCCAGTCCACTCACCTGCTGGGGGTCCCATCTGCACCCGCTCCTCCTGTCCAGTCCACTCACCTGCTGGGGGTCCAACATGCATCTGCTCCTCCTGTCCAGTCCACTCACCTGCTGGGGGTCCAACATGCGTCTGCTCCTCCTGTCCAGTCCACTCACCTGCTGGGGGTCCAACATGCGTCTGCTCCTCCTGTCCAGTCCACTCACCTGCTGGGGGTCCAACATGCGTCTGCTCCTCCTGTCCAGTCCACTCACCTGCTGGGGGTCCAACATGCGTCTGCTCCTCCTGTCCAGTCCACTCACCTGCTGGGGGTCCCATCTGCACCCGCTCCTCCTGTCCAGTCCACTCACCTGCTGGGGGTCCCGTCTGCACCTGCTCCTCCTGTCCAGTCCACTCACCTGCTGGGGGTCCAACATGCGTCTGCTCCTCCTGTCCAGTCCACTCACCTGCTGGGGGTCCAACATGCGTCTGCTCCTCCTGTCCAGTCCACTCACCTGCTGGGGGTCCAACATGCGTCTGCTCCTCCTGTCCAGTCCACTCACCTGCTGGGGGTCCCATCTGCACCCGCTCCTCCTGTCCAGTCCACTCACCTGCTGGGGGTCCCGTCTGCACCTGCTCCTCCTGTCCAGTCCACTCACCTGCTGGGGGTCCAACATGCGTCTGCTCCTCCTGTCCAGTCCACTCACCTGCTGGGGGTCCAACATGCGTCTGCTCCTCCTGTCCAGTCCACTCACCTGCTGGGGGTCCAACATTGGTCTGCTCCTCCTGTCCAGTCCGCTCACCTGCTGGGGGTCCAACATGTGTCTGCTCCTCCTGTCCAGTCCACTCACCTGCTGGGGGTCCCGTCTGGGTTACCTGGACAATCTACATCTTCAGAGCAAGTTGTAAGAGAAATACCAGTATGCTTCTTGAAATACTTCAAATCTAATGTAATACTTCCTCCTAGGCCGTGGATGAACAGAGTTTGGCAGGAATGGATCGTGTTGATGAGCTTGCGGAATACTTGGTGGAGCTAAGAAATGAAAAAGGCCTCACTCTTACCAATCAGCAGGCCAGCACCATTGTGGGTCTTTGGCAGAACTTGGAGCAACACGATAAGGACCGGATTTCTTACGCTGCTCGACATCAGGAGAGACTGCTCACTGGTCGGTTTAGGTCTCCGAAAAAGAAGGCTGTATTTGCAGGAGTTGAAAGCACAAAAAGGTGTGTACTTGGTTCTACTGGTTCAGCTGCTCAGTGGCCAAACTGCAGCCGTCTTGTAGAAACAATATTTATCAGATTGTGCAACATTCATAATAGCCCCAAGAAAATTGGACACCAAACCCTTTCAAGATGGTCACTAATTCTAAATGATTATAAAAAGATTCGACAGCTCATTTTAATCAAAGGCATTATTATGAAAGATACAACTCTGCAACTTGTTACTGTAAATCAGACCACGTTGATACAGTGGCATAACAAAAGATTCAAGGCACAAGAAGTTGCAATTCTGATGCAAGGGTTGGTCCTGCCTGATGAACGCCCTGTTGCCAGTGAATCACTACTCCCAGTAAACACTAGGCCCACTCAAGTCACACCACACATGCATGAACACACTTACAACATGCCACCTGACACGGCTGGGTTGGCAAAAACCAAGCTAGTTGTCAAAGATAGAGCTGAGCTGAGAACCATACAGCCAAAACAACATACAGCTCAGCCAGGAGTTTTTTACATGCCACTAATAGTGCCACCAACCACAACAGCAAGTAGCATTCTGCTTCTGCCGCCACCCCAGACCACTGCACCCAGTAGAGTTTGCACACCACATTCTGAGAGCACAACTGGCCCTTGTCAAATGCAAGACACTCCACAAAAAGAAAAGCGTAAATACACTAGAACAGTCACATCCAACAGATGCACTAAATGTGGAGAGCCACGCACCACAGACACTGGCCATAGCCAGTTCAAAGGCAGAATTTACTGCCCAAACAGGGAGACCCTAACCAAAGAGCAGTGGCTTAGAATGATGAGAAAATAGTACATCATTGTATTTTATGTTGTGAAGATTTTGTTTTTATTATAGTAAAATATTTAGTTGTTTTGCAAAACTAATACAGAAATAATTGCATTTTTATTTGATTTTTTTTTTATTTATTTTTTTTTTATTCAATTTGATTGTGATTCATTGTGCTGCCCACAACATATACACAAACTGTTGTATTTGTTCTAGGTTAATGGGTTGTATATAGTTCAGTTCTGTTTGTTTGTTTTCTTTTTACTTGTAAATAGTGATTTATTTTAAATACCATACCAAACGTGATTTGTTTGTACATATTTTTTTGAATGTTGTATATTTGTATGTATATTATAAAGTGTACATTATATGTTTTATATTTCGACGTGAAAAGAATAAAAAATATTTTTTAAATATTTTATTGATCTGTTTTATGTTTATTGTTTTGTTAATGGCTGATAGTGACAGTGATGTGATATAGCAGGCTTAGGTGGAGTGTTCGAAGTCAAATTACATAAAAGAAGAGATACATGCAGAATGCCCATACTGTTTATTTATTTTTTAAATCAAGGTTACAGTAATAGGTGGTAGTTTACTATTAATCATTATTAGATACCAGAGGTGGGAGTAAGTCACACATGTGCAAGTCACAAGCAAGTCTCAAGTCTTAACCTTCGAGTCTCAAGCAAGTCCAAGTCAATTTTTTATAAAAGCAAGCAAGTCAAGTCAAGTCACTGCCTTATGTCAAGCAAGTCAAGTCAAGTCGTAGCTTGGGTCACAAGTCACTGGCAAGTCATACAAACGTTTGATGATTTCACTGAATTTATATATTAAAATAAGTTAAAACTACATAAGTTGTGGACTATGGTTTTATTTGCAACATTTTTTTTAAATATGCATTTCCACATACAGCTGAGTGGTTACTACAATAAAAATCTAAAAAATAAAAAATAAATACAATTTCAAACTACATAGCCTAAAATGTAAATGTAACTGAAATTAGGCCAACATTAAAGCATGAAAAAATAAATATGCCTCAAACATTGCAGAAGACCATTAAAAGGTATTAAACAATTCACAATTCAAGTATAATGGTTCCTATGCCACCAAATGGCATTCTTCAAACTGGCATCCCCTTTATATAAGTTATGTAACAGCCGTTGGCATTTAGCCTATTATGAAGCTAAAACCGCCAATAGGTGGCGGCAAATCACCGTCTTAATGTACGAGTCATAGAAGCAGTCAACTGATTTGTTCAAAATGACAGATTCGTTCTGGAACTAAGCAACTAGGTCACTGAATCACAAATACGCATAACTCTTTCTGTGGCTTGTTTGGAACTATTGTCATTGGAGAAATAGAGCAAAAACAGAAAATATTTGGAATATTATGTCTAAAATGTCACATCACAATATTCACTCTTTGTTTACTGAACTGTTTTATAAAATCATCACATTTGCAATCGCGCCAATAATCTGGAAATATTTTTTTATATATGTTATAATTATGAAAATAACTCATACTAGGGCCATTTTTCCGCCACATTTTGAATTTTGGGTGCATATAACAGTTTTTTACAATCACTTTGTTACTATTTTCAGAACCTTGATGTCATTTTTCACAACTCTAGACACAAAACTCACAACCAATGATCAAAAAGCACATTTTTCAAAACTCTAACCCTTTTCTCAATTGCTTGGATACAATACACATAAAACTTAGATCATTTGTTCATTCAACAAAGATCACCTGTTCAATATGACACAACTTAACATCAAAGTACTACTATTTCAAAAGGCAATTCACAGATTACATTTCAAATGAGTGTCTATTCATTTCCTTACAATGATCTAACTATCAATTGATACAACTGCTCAAAATGATAAGTAACTGTTGCATTACTCTTAATGCATAGTTGTATGGAAACAGACACACAATCTTCATGTTTACAGTAAATCATGAAAGTTTCAAGATAATGAGATTCATTGTCACCAATTAGCATGGCATGAACCAATTAGACTACAATATCCATGGATGTAGCCTAATATTTTATCATACTGTAATGCTTCATCAGACACTGTGTCTATGGTGCCAAATACTGTACCACCTTTTCAGACTATGTACAGTATTGACAGTACAGTACTGTATAGATGCAGGCCCTTGTAACTGCGTGTCCAATTCTGCCAATCACAGCAGAGCAGTGTCAGGCCTGGACTCGCCATGCCAAAGGTTTTTTCCAAGATGTCATTTTCCAACATCCATTGTGATGTAGATGAGAACCTGTGGCCAAATCCACAACACAGAGTTGATGACAGTGTAGAAGTACAGTAATCACTCCTGTTTAGTTTCTTACAGCAAGTTGAGGAACACTGCATTTGATGTTTTACAGTACTGTCTTTTCTTTTCTATTTCATAGCTAATTATTTTTGCTTTGATTCAAAAAACCATGTTGTGATTGTACTGTAGTGTTTTGCATCAATATATTACAAACTTTGTTCACAATGATTCCACTGTGTCTGTAATATTCTCTCTACTACTGCAGTACTTTTACAGAGATGTATTTACTGTACATGTAGTACCATAATGAAACCTGTATCACCTATTTTGCTCTACAATATTTAATGATTGTACGAACAATGACACAGTGAAACTATCGGTTGCTTGTGTGTGGGTGATCTATAGTTATGTTTCAATGGTATTTCACAGTTAATTTGTTTTTTGAACCAATGATTGTGCAAGTGCAAGATTTCTTTAAAGATGTGAATGCGCAATGCAATGTTTTGAACATTAGACAGCCTGTGTTACAAGTGATTATCGTTTTGAGTTTTGTGTCTAGAGTTTTGAAAAATGACATCAAGGTTCTGAAAATAGTAGCAAAGTGATTGTAAAAAACTGTAATTCTGCTGGCATTTTTTGCCACCAACCCCCTGATAACATTAAGAGAAACATAAACGACAAAACTAAGTTTTCTATATTGTTTTTCGTCATTGGAAAGAACAACATTTTTGGCTTTAAAGCATGATTTAAAAAGAAATGTGGCAAATGTTATACAAAACATATACCGACATTAATTATCATTTGAATATTGACAACATTAAGCTACATTTGAAAACATAATTGTGTATAAAGAGGCATGCTGTTTTGACCAATAGTATTCTCTCTAGATTTAAAGATAGTCAAATTAACTATAACAAACAGGTTAAACAAGCCATAGCTTAGCCTACTTTTAGACGTGGTGAATGAAGTTCGACTGTTCGAGGTTGTGATGGTCGTCCGATATCCATTGCCAGTTATTATGCGTACAACAAATCTTCTTGCATGAATATGGTCATTTTCTAGTGTTTATATCCAAAAAGAAACGATGCAGGGAGATGTTTTTGTTTTTAGCGCGCTCACCGCGATGTAGGCTATGTTTTTCTGGGCTTGTGCAGCGTCACGCAATCGCGCAGAATCTGATGACTGACGTCAATGGTTCCGTTGCTTTCATTTTGTTTATCAATGGATGTTGCGATGATTTATATAAAAATGTATATCAAGTCATTCTCGAGTCATACAGTTCAAGTCAAGTCAAGTCTCAAGTCATTGGATCTCAAGTCAAAGTCAAGTCGAGTCATTTTCTTAATTTAGTCAAGCAAGTCTCAAGTCCTTAAATTTGCGACTCGAGTCTGACTCGAGTCAAGTCATGTGACTCGAGTCCCCCATCTCTGTTAGATACTCCTGCAATATATCAGTACACTAAATGTTCTTCCATTCTACCATTTGATAATACTGGGTCATCAATGCAGAGTGTTTATAAAGTTAGATAATTGGGAAGTCCCTAAAAATGTGGTTCAGTACCTCCTTTTGATCAAAAGAAGAAAAAATTTAAATGCAATGTGTTAATAATTAAATAAATGGTTAATTGCCTGCAAGCTGAACTGCATCCCTTATATTGCACTAAATAAATCTTGGTTCGACTCCGGCTCGAAGGAGGTCTTTTTCACAAGCAAACATTTCATTGGCCATGCTTCTCGACGAGGCTGTCAGCGCTTGAGTTGGTAGTCCAGCATTTTGCAATCGCGACCGCCGCTGGAGGGCAAAAGCTCATTCCCTGACCGGGAATCGAACCCAGGCCACGGCGGTGAGAGCGCCGAATCCTAACCACTAGACCACCAGGGAAGGTCTGCTGACTCTTTCCCGTCAAGCCTGGCTGTGTGCCTCTACCAGATTTTGCAGCAACTGCTCAAGCAAGACCACTAAGGCTTGAATTTTCCTTCAGGAGAGGATACTTCTCTGACCCTGGATCACAGTTATTCCACTGAGAAACTGTCACAGGCTCTGTAGGAATATCCTAACAGCACCACAACTTGCCATGAAAACAAAGCAACCAAGATCCCCAACATGTGACGCCTCCAACTTGAAGCTTTTTATAGCAGGCTCCTCATCAGACCCCTTCCTGACGTTGGCTCCAGGCCTGTTGATGGCATGAGATAAAGTAGATGTCATGACAGGCCTCTGCCCAGTCGGACACCAACAAGTCGTGTGCATAGTTTTTGTTATTATTATTATTGGATTAGTTGAATAATATTTTAAATTGACAGTCCAACAATAGGCTGCTTTGTCAGTGGGATAACGGTTACCATACAATACCATGCGTCTTTTCAGATGCATTGCATGGGTACTGTAACAAGGACCTTGCTTTGCGACCAGTTTATAGTGTCTATTATGCCAGCACAGGAATGGGAGGAAACTGAACCCCCTGGGCGAGGCAAATGAGAGCTCCCTCCGATGAGCCTGATGAAATTGAATTCAGTAAACAATCCCTTCGGATCATTCCCATATTCTTAAAGGGGGGCGGTCACACACTAAAAGCCAAAGGGCCTGCTCGAGGCTTGAGGAAGTTCCCATATGGTCTAGCGGTCAGGATTCCTGGTTTTCACCCAGGCGGCCCGGGTTCGACTCCCGGTATGGGAAGTTCGTGTTGTCTTTGCTTCACTTATGGAAACAGCCAGGACGTCTCTCTGTGCCACTAGCACTTTTGGCCGGCAGTTGGAGCTTACGAAACCTGATAGGTTTAGGTTCTGTCCCTAACCGGTGTGCCTTCGATAGCTCAGCTGGTAGAGCGGAGGACTGTAGGTGGCAAATTGGCAATCCTTAGGTCGCTGGTTCGACTCCGGCTCGAAGGAGGTCTTTTTCACAAGCAAACATTTCATTGGCCATGCTTCTCGACGAGGCTGTCAGCGCTTGAGTTGCAGCATTTTGCAATCGTAAAGTATTTGGGCCATTGGGGAATATGTATTCAATATTTAGTAATTACAAATTAATAACTATTGATACGGGTTTGACCCAGATAACAATACATGTTAAAAATCACCCGGCAAAGGGGGTTACGTCGCCAATCTGTTATGAACGACTGAATACAATGGATTTATAATCAATTATTCATACAGATCGGCAAGATAGATCAATTTTATTTATCAATAATCAAATCATAACGAATTATAATTCAATATTCACATACAAATTGTCTAGAATATATAGATTCTCAGGATACTCCTCAATGGAATTAATTAGTATCGAATATTCTGTTTGTCCAGCAAACTGGTCATGGATCTTCATCAATTTCCACAGAGAAATTACCTTTAAGAGACTCGCAGGAAAAGACGATCTTTACGGCCGTAAAAGATAGCTTTCCTGTTTTGTCACAATACTATTTAAAGTATTATACCATTTCAAAGCTTGTAGCTGATCGAAACATTTAAGTGATTTGAAGTATGAGCACAGGCAGAATCAATCAATTAATATATGTATTTAATAAAGGTGATTACGTATACGGTTAATAAACGTTACAAGGAATAAATGTATTTACAAACACAATAAAACATCGAGGAAGGAGAATGCATATAGAAAGAGAGGGAGAGAGCTGGTGAGTTTGGCAAAATTCATCAGACACAGAACCGTTAAGAGAGACAACTTAGAGTCAAATCGTACCCTAATTAGGGCAGGCAATCTTAGCAATATTTAGATCTCGGTAAGAAACGAATACTTGCTGATCATGTTCTCTCGTGTGTGTGTGCGTGTGTTCCGGACCCGGTCAGAGGTCCTTTCCGGCGCGCCCGTGTGGCGGGATGTTCAAATCGTCTGTTGAAGGTGTTGCCAAAGAAATGATTCAAACTAAGTTCATTTCACTCGCTGGTGAGAATGAACAAAGGAGAATACAAAAAGGAAAATAAAACTGAACTAGACAAACAAAGGAAAGATGGGTCATCGCATGAACACGAGGTCCCGATGGACCAAGGAGTCACATGATGAAGGAAGGGAGAGTCCAGAGTACGAGCGAGCGAGAGAGTCAAGCGCGTGTCACATGTTGGAGGAAGAGCAGTCCAGGGTACCAGCCAGAGAGGGAAGACAGGGGTACCGGCCAGAGAGGGAAGACAGAGCACAGGAAGAGCGAGTCCAGTTCTCTTTAAAGGAACTGGAGTCCACACCTCTGAGGTGCGAACTGGCCAATGACATTCAACGAAACTCTTGGCGGCAAAATTCTCTTTGTCTTGTCAAAGCTAAATTATGGCCGCATTCACAGGTTTTACGATCAGTCAGAATTTGTTCAGAATCATTTCAAAGATGGTAAAACATAGTAAAATACATTTTATGGCTTGTTCAATTACATAAATGACCTTGTCAGCTCACAAGGATTCTGAACATAGGAAGAAAGACATTTAAGGAGAGTTATATTGCAAAGTTACATTAAAAGCATAATTAACTGCCCTTTTAGTTTGTTTTAAACTAACACACACTCATAGGTCCCTTCATAGGACCTGGGCAATCGACAAACATAACAACATATCAAATATACCTCAGTAAATGTCTTTAAATGAGGAGAGTAGTAAAAGTTCATATATGTGTGTGTGTTTGTATCTGCGTGCATTGAGCACCCAACAGGGGGGGGTTCTCTGGAATTCCTTTGAATCTTGGACTACGTGAGTGGGAGAATGCAGGGTTAGTCTCTGGCGAGTGTTCCAGGGTCGTAAAAGTGTTAGGAGCAGACTTGTTGGCACCAAAGTCCAGTAATTTTCATTAATCCTAAAAACTTTGGGTTTTAGGAAGAATGTGCTTTATTTGCGTTCAGGACAGAGTCAATGATTTACCCCAGATACCTTACAGTCCCCCTTTTCGTCCGATGACGTCCCTTTGTGGACATCATCGGACGACACATCACAATGGGCGGATGGCAGGTGAATCATGACTCATGCAGCAGGTGGTTATTAGGGCTGAGGATTCAGCTCTATGAGGTTCGAAGCTGCCTCTGGCCTGGTCTCTGACTTGGCACCCCCTTTTTGCGGGTTTCGTCCGAAACCTTTCGTGAGCTTGGCTGAAGATGTTTGCATCTCGTTCAGTCTCCTGTATAGGATGAAGGCCAAGCCCAGTGTCAGGGTGTGTCTGACTACCATAGAGGTACACAGTGCAGTGTCGGCTGCGGTCCAGGCTTGGACAACAGGTGAGGTAGTCAGAATGGGTAGTCGAGACAAAGCTCGGAGGGCTGTATCGATAGGAGCAATGTCAATTAGCTGGGATGGCACCTTTCAGTACTCGACTCCACATGCTCTGGTTGAGCAAGGTGACACGGGTGACAGTGTCGTGCTGGGGTGAGGTGCTCTGTAGACGTTGCGTGGGTCGCGTCGAACACACACTTTCTGGGTGTGGGTCCTGTGCTTGGTGATCAGGATTCCCGGTTGTTCTCTCCGGACGATGCCTGCTGCCGGACCTGGTGAGATGTCCGATTGCGGCTGTCCTCTGGTTGGCTGGAGGCACCGGATGAAGAACCACAACAGCGTCCTGCAAAAGACAAAGGGGAGAGGGAGAGAGAAAGGGAGGACAGATCTCAGTGCTGCGGTTGGCAGCACATGGTGCATCGTGGGCATACACTGGCATGACCCCCCTTTTGCACTGTGGCATCACAAGCTGTGGCGCAGTAATGTCACCAGGTGCAGAACACGTAAAGTTGTCCCGTGCACGCAGCATGTGCTTGGTGAACTGCAGTGGTCTGGGGCACTGGTTGTCTGTTTGTTCAGACGCCTTGCGTGGGTGGTTGGAGGGGTATGAGAGGTGGTTTCTCATAGTGGGCATTGAATTGTCATTGGTGAGCTGGAAGGTGCAGGGTAGCGAATTCAAACCTTCATGTGGTGCTGAGGCTGTGTCTTCATGGCTGGCTGCGGGAGTTCCCGTGACCTTGGTGACCTTGAAGTCTGGCTCTGCGGGAGTTCTCGTGACCTCTGTGACCTGACAGTCTGGCACAGGTGACCTGTCTGATGGGAGGGGGAGAGGTTCCTGAACTTGAGCCCAAACTTTCAGCTGTTTGAAGTCCAGTAAAGGCTCAAAGCGATCTTGCAGGTCTTTGCCAATTAGAAGTGGGTAAGTGTCCATTGGTGAGATGTACACCGGGTGGATTAACCACATAGGACCAATTGTCAGGTGAATGAGAGCTACCTGTTCGAGCCGAATGTCGCTCTGGCTGTATGACTGCACAGTCAGCTCACACGTTTGAGATGTGAGAGTTCGATCTTGTCTCTTAGCTTTGAATCTGAGTCTTTCAAAAAGTTCAGCTGAAATCAAAGTGAGGTCTGAGCCCGTGTCGACCAGGGCTTCAAGCCTCACCTCCTTTTCCAGCGTGACAGCAAGGAACAGTTTCCGGGCCACCCCCTTTTCGAATAAGGTCCCCAGAAGTTTTGGCATTGGGGCTGTTGTGGTGATCAATGGGTGGTTAGGGCTGGTCTCGGGTGGTTCGCTGCGGAGGCAGTTAACCAAAACAGCCTTTCCTGGTCCTTTGTGGTGTTGGACCCAGTTATGGGAAACTGTGCTGTCATGCTCAGGAAGTGCAGCTGTCAGCTGAGGTGGCTGGATGATGCTGTCACTTTGTGATGTGACAGCTGGCTCTGTGGCCTGTGGCCGACAAGCAGTGTTCAGGGTGCTTGGTATTACGCTTAGACACAAGACGTCGGGCTCATCCTTCCTGTGTCCCTTGTGAAGTTTCCTGTGAAGAAGCTCTTTCAGCACCTTCAGGATCTCCGCCGTCTCTGACGGGGCCATACGATTTCTATCTGATGTGGGCTCAGACCTGGGCTCGTCGGTGGCATGTCGAGAGGGGCTCCATGGCCTGTTTTCTGGGCTTGGGGTTCTTGGTGATGGGGGTCGGCTATTTCTGGGTCGCCGGCTGGTTTCCCAGAATCTTTCAGAGCGCTCGCTCTGGTGTCTAGGACCCGCACCATCACAGTTGTGCTGCCCTCTGTTGGCCTGGAACGGTTCTGACTCTCTGTGAAAAGGGCTGTGGTGTCGTGGGGCGCCCTCTAGAGGCAGCTCTGAGTAGTGTTCAGAGACAGAGTAGATTGTGTGGTCTTTCAAAGTCTTTTCGGACACAATATTTTGCTTAATGTGAGCTTTGTGGGCCAAGTCTCGTAGCTGTTGGGTAGACATGCTACGGGGACAGGCCAGGATGCCTAAGTGATGACTCACTGTGGGATGCAGATTTCGAAGGAACAAAGTTCTGAAATTGACATCCTCTTCCATATAGGGCTGGTTCCGTGCTCCGAAGTAGGCTTGTCGGAGTCCGCTGTAGTAGGTCTGTGGGGTTTCAAGTCGGGCCTGCTGTAGGTCCAAGGCGGTGAACAACCCTTGGTCTGATTCTGGATCAGAGAATTCACGGATCAAAGCTTGTTGCAGCTGCTGGTAGTCCGTTTTGATAGTCTCTGTTTGACGGTCAAGGAAGCTGCGCACATCACGACTGGACGTAATTCTTAGCAGGTACAATCTGTCCCAAGCGGTCGCGTTGGTGACAGTTTGTAAGTGAAAGTCAATGTCTTGCAGGTAGGCATGCACGTCCTGGCCTCCTGCAGGGTTCGGAGTGAACGTAGGGATGTGTCTGGCCAGCTTGTCAAGTTCTTTGGGGGCCGTGCCGTGGTTAGGGGCAGGGGTTCTCTTGAAGGCCCCCCTCCTTGCTGCTGGCGGGGGTTCTTGTGCGCTGGCTGGTGGTGTCTTGAACGGTGGACTTTCGCCCCCCTTTTCAGCTCTTAGCTCTTGGCTGAAAGATGCGGAACGGCTGGTCAGGGAAAACTTTGTGGTGTGTGTTTCCCCTTCCCGGTCACTCTGCAGTCTATACGAGTGTTTCAGCTCTGTGCGGACAATGTCAAGTTCGTATTCGAGATTGTGTCTCTGCTGAACAAGCTCGTGGATTTTAGCTTGGGCCGCTTGAAAGTGTTTTTTGCAGGCCTTGGCTTTAGTGTCTCTTTCTTTTAATTCAGTCTCTGCTCTTGCAAGGAGAGCTTCACCATGTCGGAGTTTCTTGTCGAGTTCCTTTTTGGTTTCTTTCTCCGACTGCTTTCTTTGGTCTGTGTCCAGACGAAGATCAGAGAGGGCTTTTTGGAGTCTTTCCACTTCCTCTTGTAGCTCTGGGTCTGTGGTATCCTTTTTCCCGCGCTGTTCGTGGGTCTCAAGGAGTAGCTGGTCCAGACGAGACTGAGCGTGGGTTTGGTTCCTCCGGGCCTCCTCCACTTGAAGCTTTAGCGTTGCAGCTTCCTGCTCCAGGTTGATGCCGTGTCTTTCGCTGAGCCGTGCCTGGTTGACAAGTGTGTGAGCGAGATGTCCAACGATTTTGGCCCAGTCTTTGTATTGGTAGCTCTGGGTTGGATCGTGTTC